CGCCCTGAGGGAGAGGCGCCGGGGGAGGGGGGCGGGCGAGGGCGGATGTGGGGGCCAGCTGGAAGATGCCGCCACGGGTGGCCCTTCAAGAGACGGCGCCCCGGCGTCTGCACACCTCCCGGCTCACAAACATCTCTCCCTCATTCCCCTCGCGTCTCTGGACAATGATATGATCCACCCCAGGATCCGGTGCGCCTCGCCGCTCTTGCCCCGAAGGCCTCCCTCCCCCCTTCCCCCCCTCCGTGGCTTTTGCCCCCATGGGATCGCCCCAAGCAGCTAACCCCCCCCCCCATCGGCCCGTCCTCCTCCTCCTCCCCCCACTGCCGCCAGTGGTAGTTCACCCGAGTCCAAAGTATCCTCCACCCGGCCACCACCGAGCCCCAACCCCACAGGCTGCCCCGCCATGTCCCTGGCCGACGTCCAGAATCCCCACACCCAGCAGGACCTCGAGTACCACCGCTTCGCCATCCACGAGCCGCTACCACTACAGCAGCAGCAGCAGCACCACCACCACCACCACCACCACCACCACCACCAACAGCAGCAGCAGCACGGCGTGCGCCTCGCCACCTCCAGTCTCCACGCCCGCACCATGCCGGACTTCCTGTCGCAGCAGCCATCGCCCCATGCCCGCATGGCCACCACCCCGCCCCACCATGAGCCCTTTCCCTTTTACCACCGGTCCGAGGGCATTCTCCTGGGATCGCCGCCGAGCCTGCAGGCTCAGCTGGCCATGTCGGTGGGGACCAGCCTCGGGCAGACCCCGCAGGCGGTTGGCCACCTGTCTGCCTTCCACCAGCCGGTGGGCGCCATGACGCCCGCCATGCATGGCGGCGACCCCGGGCCCGGGGGCTTCCCCACTCCGTCCAGCACCGGGGGCGAGGCCTTTCGCCTGGTGGACTTGTCCTCGCGCATGACCAGCCCCACCACCATGAGCCCGTCGGACATGAGCCCCGGCGCGCGGCATGTGGCGCCCATCGACGGGCCCGGGCCCAAGCCCATGCCACCAGTCCCCGGGGACTTCGGCGGCGGCGGCGGCAGCAGCAGCAGCAGCAACAGCCTGGCTGGCTTCGGCCTGCGGCTCAAGGCCCTCCCCGACCACCCGCAGGAGGAGCCTGTCGGGAGCCGCGGCGCCGGTGGTGCGGCCGACGATTTTGCCCACCTCGTGAGCCCGGGCCCCAAGCCCGGGTCCAGTGCCCGTGGCCGTGATGCCAAGTACGTTTGGATCCCCTCCCGGCCCATCTGGCCACCTCCCTCTCTCTTCCTCTCTCTTCCTCTCGGCCGCTCGATCTCTCTTGCCCACACAGTGAGCACCATATGTCGCGCACATGATCGCAGGCCCTGTCTCACAGTCTCCGCCCCCGCCGATTGCCCGGCGCTCTTTGCCGCTTTTTCGTCGTGCCCATCTGCAGTCGCTCCCTCTCGGCCAGCAAGGCCAAGAGCAGCAGCGCTTCGGTCAAGTCGGCGGCCGCGGCGACGGCCGCGGCGGTGGTGGCCGCATCGACCGCAGCGGCGGCCGCCGCGTCTATCGCACCGGCCCCGCTGCCCGGCAAGCGGCGCAACCACAATGCCAGCGAGCGCCGGCGCCAGCAGAACATCAATGACGGGATTGTCCGCCTGCGGCGCATGGTCCCGGCCTGTCGGCTGAGGAGCAACCGCTCCATCGGCGGTATCACCGGTAGCTCGCAGGCTCCCGGCGGGCCGACCGGTGGCAGCCATCCCGGCCCGGCGGCCGGCGACTCGTCCGCCGACGAGCTGGACTCCGATTCGGAGAACATGGGCCCGACCACGGCGCCGCGCGTCAGCAAGGCCACCGTGTTGACCCTCAGCGCGGAGTACATTCTCCAGCTGCAGGCCGCGGTGGAGGAGTTGTCGGGATGCGTGCGCGAGCTGGGCGGCTCGGTGCCGCCGGCCCTGGCCAGTGCGCTTTTTGCCCCCGGCGGCCGGGTCGGCACGGCGGGGTCCCTTTGTGGGAATGGCGCCGGGCCTGGCGACGGATCGGCCACCTCCTCCCCCGGGCCTCTGGACTCTCCCCCCGGTGTCCCGGGTCCCATGGCCCAAATGCAGCAGCAGCAGCAGCACCAGCAGCAGAAGCAGCATGCCCCTTCCGCTCGGGCCCCTACAGATGGCGTGCCTCACATGGGTCCCACTGATCATCAGGGTGGCCAGCACGCACGGGCCATTGCCATGATGGCGGCGGCCGCGGCCGCCGCGGCCGCCGCCGGGTCCCAGCCAAACGACTCGCAGCTGAAGGCCCTCTTCCATGCCCAGCATCAGCAGCAGCATCAGCAGCAGCATCAGCAGCAGCATCAGCAGCAGCAGCAACAGCAGATGGAGTCCCACCCTCGCTCGCCGCGCACCAAGGCCGCCAGCAGCAACGTCAGCGCCAGCACCATGGCCTCGCATGGCGGGGACTTCCTCCCCCACATCGGCGGACCGGGGGGCGGCAATCTGGCCATGGCGGCGGCCGCGGCGGCGGCCATGGCGGCGGTTGCCAATGGCGCCGAGGGCGGCGGTCCCCTGCTGGACTTCAGCGCGTCCGACGCCGGCGGAGTGGGGTATCTGCGCTCGGTGCATCCGACCACTGCGGCGGCGCACCTCGCCGCCATGCAGCAGGGCAACACCGGCACCAGCAGCAACGTCATGAGTGGCGGCGGGTACCTGCGCAGCAACGCCCCGCTGGCGTCCCACTTCGCATCATCCCCCCCCGGCAGCACCAACGTCATCGGCCACTCGGCGTATGGGCAATTCTCGCAATCGCTGCAGCTCGAGGCAACCCTCGGGCTCGGGGGCGGCATGCAGCAGCTGGCTGCCGCCGGGCAGGCCCCCAGCGCCGCCGACACCAGCACCAGCAGCTGGAAGCACCTTCTCCATCAGCAGCAGCAGCAGCAGCAGCAGCAGCAGCAGCAGCAGCAGCAGCAGCAGCAGCAGCAGCAGCAGCAGCAGCAGCAGCAACAGCAGCAAGCAGCCGCAATGGGCCTGTCTCCGGGTAGCCTGGCGGCGGCGGCGGCGGCGGCGGCGGCGGCTGCGGCGGCTGCGGTCAACCCCTCCCCCTCGCCCTCGTACTACCTCCCTGGTGGCGGCGGCGGCCTGGAGTCCATCCCCGGCGGCGGGCCGCTCGGGCCGGACTCGCTCGGTGCCGCTGCTGGCAGCGTCATCAACAACCAGAAGGGCTTGCCGCCGGCCGCCTCCCCGGGCGCGATGCATCACCACTACCGCACCGCCAGCGGCGGCGGCGGCGGCAGCGGCGGCAGCAGCAGCAACATCAATGTGTCGACTCTGGCGGACCGGATCACCATCGATGTGCCCACCCCATTGCTCCTCAATGCAGGTCATTCTTCGCCCACGTCTGCGGGTGCCTTCGCCTCGGAGCACTCGCCGCAAGGCAGTTTTGTGCAGATGACCTCCGGCCCCGGGAGCAACGGTGGCATCGGCGGTCGTGCTGCCGGCGGCAACCAACAGTAGCTCCACCTGCGCACATATGTAAATACCTCCCCCCCCCCCTCTCCCTCTCCCTGCCCACCTTGTGCCCCCTCTCCCGGCCGGCCGGTAGTGTGCGCGCGCACAGGTGGGCACACAACAATATAAGCCATTCATCGTCCCCCCCCCC